ACCTTCTAGTCGATTCACGACATCACCGACTTATGAAGGATAACAAACACCACTATGATAAGCAGGATATTTACGGAATCAGTTTCCATGAATCTAGTTGATGTCAACAGTGAAACAAGGGTGTGACACAGAAGCCTTGACAAACTAGGGATGCTATTTTTGGAGACGTTATTTCATTCAATTCAACTCCGCTTTTAGCCCTTTCGGAGATACTGCCGGTCTCACGCTCTGATGAAGGATTAGGGTTGGGCATGGGGATAGCGACACGATCCCATGGAAAACCAACTCGCTAATAAAACTCTGATCAGAAAAAATAATTCAAACCATTTTAACCCTGCCCTGGGAGTTGAAGGAAGAATTATGACGTCTCATGATGAAAGCCGAGTTCCTTTGGAAGTCATGAGGCCGATGCATCTTCTAACAACCAGAGCGACAATTTTTATAAGTACATGGAATGTCCGGACAATGCGGGAGACAGGAAGAATCTTTCAAATTGCTGCAGAAGTAAGGAAATTGAACCAGGAGATGCTTGGAATCAGTGAAACACATTGGACGTGTGTTGAACAAGAACGACCATTGTCAAGAGAGCTTCTGTTATACTCTGATGACGAAGAAGAAAATGCTCCACATACACAAGGAGTTGCGTTGTTGCTGTCCAAACAAGCACAAAATGTACTTATAGAATGAGAATTTCATGGACCAAGGATCACCAAAGCCTCCTTCAAAACAAATAAATAGGGTATTACAATGAACGTCATCCAATGCTATGCGCCTACCAACGATTACGATGAAGAGGTTAAAGACCAATTCTGCGATAGGCTGCAACATCAGAAAAGTTTAATACGGCTTTTGTTCGGGATGCTGACAAACTCAACAAATTCAAGATAGCCCTCAGCAACAAGTTCCAGGCCTTTCATGATCTACTCAATGGAGAGGGAACTACTATGTAGAGCAATTGGAAAGGGATAAAAGAGACAGTCACTTCGACATGTCATGAGGGTCGGGGCCACAAGAAGCATCACCACAAGGAATGTATCACTATTGGTACACTGGATCAGATTGAAGAACGGAGGAACAAAAATGGCAGCAATCAATTCCAGCCGAACAAGAGGAGAAGAAGCCAAATCACAAGTCGAATACACAGAGGTAAACAAGCAAGTGAGGATTTAGCAATGACGGCGGAAAAGGCTGCAAGAGGAGGAAATATGAGACAACTGTACGACACAACAAAGAAACGCGTTGGAAATTACCGTAGACCAGAACGACCAGTGAAAAGCAAGGAAGACAAGGTAATCACCAACATTGAAGAACAACGGAACAGGTTGTTAGAACACTTTAAGGAACTCTTGAACCGACCAGCTCCACTGAACTCACCCAACTTCGATGCGACACCCACGGACCTCGCAATCGATGTTGGCCCCTCAACAATTGAAGAGATCAGCATGACCATCAGACAAATCAGGAGCAGCGAAGCAGCGGGACCAGTCAATGTTCCAACAGAGGCACTGAAAGTAGATGTAGCAGCAACTGCCAAGATACTCCACATTTTCTCCAGTAAGATTTGAGATGAAGAACAAGTACCAACAGACTGGAAGAAACGACTTCTGATCAAAATACGAAAGAGAGGCGATTTCAGCAAGTGTGATAACTACAGGGGCATCACTCTTCTCTCAATACCAAGAAAAGTCTTCAACAGAGTATTGTCAAACAGAATGAAGGACTCCGTAAACGCCTAACTTCGAGATCAACAGGTTGGATTTCGCAAGGATCGATCGTGATCAGACCAAATCGCAACTCAACGGATCGTTGTGGTACAATCAATTGAATGGAATTCATCACTCTACATCAACTTCATTGACTATGAGAAGGTATTTGATAGTGTGAGCAGGACAACACTATGGAGGCTTCTTCGACACTACGGCGTACTTTGGAAAATACTCAATATTATCCGGAATTCCTATGATTGATTAAACTGCAAAATGGTTCGTGGAGGACAACTCACTGACTCATTGGAGGTAAAGACTGGTGTTAGGCAAGGTTGCTTACTCTCACCCTTTCTCTTTCACCTGGTGATCGACTTGATCATGAAGACGTCAGCATGTGGAGAGAAGCATGAGATACAATGGACAGGTAGGATGCAGCTTGATGATTTAGACTTCGCAGATGATCTGGCTCTCCTATCACACATGCAACAACAAATTCAGGAGAAGACGACCAGTGTTGCAGTAGCCTCAGCAGCAGTAGGTCTCAATATAAACAAAGGGAACAGAAAGACTCTCCGAAGTTCTGAAAGTCAAAGGAGAAAAGGAAGACCAAAAAACACATTACACCGAGAAATGGAGATAGACATAAGAAGAATGAACAGTGATTGGATCGAAATAGAAATCAATGCCCAGGACAGAGTGGTTTGCAGAATGCTGGTCGGTGGCCTATACTCCATTGGGAGTAACAGATGTAAGTATGTCAGTAAGTAATTAAGGTAATTATTTCGTCTAATTCAAGGCTTGTAAAGCAGTCACATTTACTTTTGTTCCTAGTCTATTCGACAGATCATAAGCTTTCGTTTGATGTATGGTTCACTGACATAGCATTTTCTGTTCCAAAGCTATTATAATTTCGACGTAATCTTTTGTACTCTATTTTCTATTTTAATCCACCAGTTTTGTACATAATTGTACTTTCCTAATTGTTGCATGTTGTGATCGGGTTAGTCATTTACTTATTCATGTATCTTTTTACACTAATCTGAACTCGAGTACCAGATCAGAATTGGGAATAAATCGCATAGTGTTTTAGTTTTCTTGTCTTCTCTCTAGCGCGCGTGCCTGTCAGTCAATCGGGTGATAGAATAGTTTTCCGTTACCTGACTCACGGAAGAAGTTACGACGATTTCTCAAGCTAATAAATTATTATAAATCGTTTATTCCGATTTTTGTGCGGCAATAATGCAAATATTGACGAACGCGTTACGTGGACATGCTCGGACATTCCATCTATCAGGAGAGGTGATATAGGTACTCGAAAACTCCAATAAAGCACTAAACAAAGAAAGTATGATAGCTAGAAGAAAGTGTAAAATGTCATTAGCTATCATGACCGATGCATCGAATGTGGCGGTAGGAGTCGTTTTACAACAGTTAGTAAATGGTATGTAGGAACCGCTTTAATTTTTCTCGAAGAGATTGAATTCTAATCAAACGAGATATAGTACTTTCGGAAGAGAATTACTAGCTATTTACTTGTCGAGAATGCATTTTCGACATAAGCTAGATGGTATAAATTTTACTATGTACATGGATTATTAACTTTCTTTGATCTTGTATGACTATACCTTGTTTATTCACCAATCACAATTTTGTGTTCATTATAAAACAATATTCTCTTTAATAGTTGAAATCATGAGTCAATTGGAGCTAGACCAAAAGAAGAATATACTACAATATCCACAAAAACCACTTCTAATATCCACTTTGTTGACTCACTTTTCCAATCCTCCAGTTACTGTTCACTGTATCATTTATGTCTCTCCTTTTCCCTGTTTCATAGACCGTAATTTTTATTTTGTATGCTAACAGTGTTAATTTACGTTTCAGAAACAGATAAAGTTTATCAAGACAAATAGCTTACTTGTTCTGAATTTGGCTAAGCTGGGACTCTGTACCCGATAGTCTAGAGAATGGTTCAGAATTACATCTGTAGGAGATTACTTCCTACAGAGACTTCAGTCGAATCCATGACCAAAGCCCTAGTCGAAAATTGTATTCTTTACCATGGCGTGCCGGCAATCATCACAACTGATAGAGGAGCTCAGTTTGAAAGTCGCATGTTTCAACAAGTGACAGAACTCTTAGTAATTGAACTTATTCACACCACATCTTATGATCCGATGTTTTATGTTATGGTTGTTGTTGTGACTTTATAAAAGGCCGTCACCAATTTGTTATGACTTTATAAAAGAATAGGACGGCCGTATGCCAATTCCTAATGATTTTATGTCCGGCTTTTTATCACGTGATGTATCCACCAATCGAAACACAACTTTTGTAATATCCACACTGTGACAAATCAATGACGTTCGACCAATATGAGTAGTCTAGCGTCCTTATTGGTTCCTTTTCCGCCTAGCCCACCAAATTGAGTCCAGAACACCAATTTCAGCTATAGCTATACGAATAAATTATTTCAAATATACTCGGTTTATATACCAGACAGACAGACCACATCACACTATAAAATAGAAGATAATATTTGTACAGGATCAAGCCAAATGTGGCTGTGAACGTGGGAGAAAATAGTCAGTAAAAAGAAAATATAATTTAGGGACAGTAAATTGTATAATAATAATCCATAGGTCAAAACTGAGCTTATAATAAAATGGATACGAATATACATAATCTAATCACTGAATAGTTATATAATAAGAATATATATAGAATAATCATCCATTAATAGGTCCCGGAAATTACCCGTACTCGTGTCTTCTCTAGGATATAACAGTTGGACGCTTTCACAGATAGTTACAGGCATCTCTAACGACCGTCCTTGTTAACAGCGATTAGGCAAATAAGCTGCCCTTAGTCATGTTATGTATAAGAGCAACAATTGAACGGGATATTGGGTGTTGTCCAGCTGAGTTGGTGTACGCAACTACTTGACGTTTAGCCGGAGAAATTTTCGCTTCAGTTAAGAGTGTTGTGACTGATGTAACCAAGTGCGTACAGCAACTAAAGAAGCACATGAATGATTTCGAATTAACTTTCTCCAGATGGAACCAATACCGAGTGTTCTTGCCGCATTGCATAAGTCGTATATCGACTGACGAAAAAGTCATGTGGTAATTGGCCGGGTTTAATGCTAAGACATGTTTCTTTGAAAGGAATAGTAGATGAATATTCAGTGATAAACCGATGGATTGAATATTGATAGAGAAATTTAAAATAGAGAATACTTTTTTATGATGAAAGATTTTTGGTTTGTGTTTATGTACATAAATATGCTTATTAATATCCACAGTTATCGTTATTTTCTTTATCATTGTTAACACCGTGATGGGATGTTTGAATGTTAGACTCGATGTCCTTGTCACCCTGAAATTTCGATGATGACGAAGACAATGATGAAGTTGATCTTCGACTAAAACATGAAAGACAAGGTGCATTTGTACTTTCTAAAGTCTCTGAGTAAATGAAATGATCAATTGTCGTTAGAATACCACCGAATACTGCCAAACTGCCTACAATATACACCTCTATATGTCTATAAGTTAACTGAGGTACACAGAGTTGTATGCATTGAATGAAGATACCAGTCAAGATTTTGTCAAACAATGATGCGATCCCATGAACAAATGCTGCTGTGTGTACTTGATTTACACCGATCAATGTTGCAATCACAACCAATGCTCGAACATTATTGATTGTGTTACCAATGCCTAGAATGGCTGCAGAAACATAGATTGCTATGAGGTTTTCATCGGCTGATTTTAAAAAGTAAGCGATTGTACAAGATGCAAGGATAAATAGAACATCGACGATCGAAACAATCTAAAATTAAAAAAGCATGTACGATTTTTAGCGGAACATGTACACACTGAAAGAGATATAAGTTTTATGAATATTTCATGTAATCATGTTATAAGATAGACGAACGTGCTGAGTTCTTCAAAACGCTTATCGAAATTCATGTATGAATAATAGTGAAGCCATTCCTAGAATATATTGCATCAAGTCAAGTCAATCATTGGCAAGATGAGAAATTGAGCATTTAGAGTGTTATGAATTAACGGTCTAGATTTAAAATCCTACTCAGAATACTTGAATGCGATAATGTGTAATGTTTGAGTGGTTTGAATGAATACTAATGTCTCAGTGTTAATGTTTGTGGCATTGATTGCGTTTGTTACAGGTTCGGGTCCTGTAGAAGTTACATTCTATTGATTCACTAATGACTGAACCTGTAATCTGTTTGATTGGTCAAGTTCGAAGCCTACAGAAGTTATCGATTTCGTGAAGACATCACATACATGCCATCCTGTTGCTTTCTGTCGACTGTCTCCGACCTTCTGAAATGTCAAAGAATGCAAGCTGAGCACCAATGTACTTATGAGTTAGCTTTCTCATAGTCGTGAATTAGAACTTGTTATCTGTATAGTAAACACTCTCTGACTTTGCATGATTCTATAGATAATGTACTCGGAGGTCACCTAAATTGTTTAGCAATGTGTTCTGTTTAAAATTATGTGAGGCCCCATATCAGATCTCGTCAACACCATAAAATTCAGGAGTGATGTCCTTATAATTCTGGACATGAATTGTTTCTTCTCGATCGAAGTCGCATCAGGTCTTACAATAACTGTTCATTTCTGCCTATATCTGTTAAGACTCAGATGATTCTAAACGCGGTGAAACTATTTAAATAGAACTTTCAACTGTTTATAGTAGAAACAACCTGTTGCTTATTCATTACCGATTGTAGATAGACAGATCAAGCTGTATTCAAATAGCAAATAAATCATGAATGAGGTTTAAAACTTAGTCAACCAAACTGTTATGAATCAGCGCTCAATAAAAAGTGAAATATCTTTCAGTAATAAACTTTTAACTTCATTTCAAGATTGTTGAAATCGTCAATTACTTCCACTTACATAATTCCCGAGTAATTTATTGATTCTCTGTACAGCAACTGACGTGATCAAACAAGAAATTGTATTAACTAATTGAACAGAAACCATTGAACTTTTATTCATTTTTAATGAATTCAACAAAAATGGACCACTGTACAACTGAAAATACAAAAGCAAAAAAATATTTACTGACAAATATTATTCTGTATATATAGTTGAAATCATGAGTCAATTGAAGCTAGACCAGCATGGAAAACCTGGAAGCACTGGACGGCTGTTTCCTCCTATTGTGCGACTCCTCAACAGCACGCATCAGCGATTCCGCCTCACGAGATTCGAACCCAGAACCTACCAGTTTCACGTGGTAGCACTTAACCGATAGAGTACTGAACCGGCATCCAACGATGTTAATGTCTAAATTCAACCAATCCACGAAATTGAGCGACGCATCCACTATTGTCTTCAGTGAAATACGATTTCACAACAGATCTGGTTGAAATCCACTGGTCACTGCTTCTCACCAGAACTACAGGAAATTCCTGATGGAGCCAGGCACTAATGAGCATATGATAAGTTATTTATTCATTTTTTTATTATTTAGTCATTAAAAGCACGTATTAGTTAAGTTTATCTTATCTCAGTGTAAATATTCACAATTTCAATTAACTCGAATCTGTAGTAGTATTGTTGTGAACAGAACACTAGTTGGGGACAATCCAATGTATTTAAGCAAAGATTACAGACTATCTCAATAAATTCTGATTACCAAACAATGAACAGTCAATTTGCAAATTAACAACCAATTGTTTCAATCTTCACTGTTTCTTCTCTTATTCCATTGCTCATGCATTTTCCAAACGATTGCGCTTCATTTCAGTTCTTTGCTCATCGGTCTTCTGCCAAAATACATTCTATGTCTGACCCACACCATATACTACTTATATAGATATAAGTAGACCACACCACACTCGTCCCCCCTTTAAAGCATTCGACCATGCGGTGGTTCTGCTCGCCACACCACTATCCTCTTTCACTGCAGTCTGTGCCAAACTCTCCATCAGAATGTCGAGTCTGCGGCGCGCTGACCTCCATAGCTCCGTCGACCTGCCGGGGCACCAACTTCCGCATCCACCCGGCACCTGGGACGTTCAACACCCGTACTCCACCGGCCTGCTGAGCCATCTACATCCGATGTCCGCCCAGCAGCCGCACGTCCCACTGCTACTCTCCGTCGACAGCACCCACTACAGCCAACGCCGCCCCGCCAGAACACTCCACTCGACGCCACCCCTCCGCATCAGACTGCCCCAACAAGCACCTCAACTCCAGACCCGCAGCGGCGTCCGCAGAACAGCACCCTTCCTCCTCCCGGTTGGCAGCGACACCAAATGTAGTGAAATGAACACTAGTTGGGGACAATCCAATGTATTTAAGCAAAGATTACAGACTATCTCAATAAATTCTGATTACCAAACAATGAACAGTCAATTTGCAAATTAACAACCAATTGTTTCAATCTTCACTGTTTCTTCTCTTATTCCATTGCTCATGCATTTTCCAAACGATTGCGCTTCATTTCAGTTCTTTGCTCATCGGTCTTCTGCCAAAATACATTCTATGTCTGACCCACACCATATACTACTTATATAGATATAAGTAGACCACACCACAGTATATGCATAGTTATCGGAATACCAAAATGTCGAGTGCATCGATAAGTTTTTCGTTTATTTGGTATATGTTTGGAATTGTAATTCGGAAACGCATACATCCATCATGAATCCCTCATTGAGTTATAATCCTCAAACAGACTTCCTAAATATGATCATATAGAAGAGGTTCTGTATAGAAAATTATCTTCACTCGTCGTAACTCTATGAAGCACAATAATTTTTTATTGCTTACCACAGAAACAGTTACACCAAGTCGCAGTATACTGCATGTAGAACAGCTCAGCCAAAATCTTGGTAGTGTAAACCAAGCATACCAAGGCAGTGTAGATGAAAGGCTGTAGGTCCGTTTGCGTCTAGATTTGATTTGAAAAACCACAACAGAATTATCATTATTGAACCCGTTATTGTTGTTTGTGCCATTCACTTCTGGGAATTCACTTGATGTTTCTTGAACAACAGAAAGAAATAAGTGTCAAATTCTGACTAATTGTAGATTACAAGAAATAGCGTGCATGAATCTGATTCAATACCTACAACTTGTTTGTGTGGACTGACTGTCACCTACAGATGTCAGACAATGTTATTTGGAATGTTTGTATTTAACAACACCACACATTCTACGTTCTGTAAACTCAAACAATTTGTTGTTTAGAGGATAGAATGGAGAAACATCGCAGTTGAAGCGACTTGTGTGTGTCTAATCGAACAGCATCATTCAGTCGCCTACAATCATGTGGATAATTCTCCACAAATTTACTGATAATTAAATAAAAGTGAGCATTTCTATCAACATGATCGATAGTGTTCAAACCATACTATGATCTTTCTCGAGGACCAACGTAGAAATTCTCGGTGAAAATGAGAGCGAGTGGATTATTTGCAAGGACTGGTAAGTTGAGGATATGGATGATCGGGAGAGACAAACGAGCCCGATGTCTTTGTATTTTCCATTGAACGAAAACCACTTCTTAGCAGTAGTATAACATGCAAAGATCTGGAAATACTGTCAGAAAACACATCATCATCATCATCATCATCATCAACATCAAAATCATTCGACACGTTTGTGTAACAAAATCATAGTAATTGTACAATTCAAACATATCCACTTGTTTCCTGATTTCTTGTTTGTACTGAACATACACTTCTTTCATACACTTCAATCACCACAACTAAGTTACTTCAATTAGAATGTAGTGCTGTAATTCAATAATAGTTCACTTCAATAACCGTTATTATACTAATCTTAACGGTGTATAATATCAGAAGGCAAAAGGAGGCGGCAACTACATTTTTATTGATGAATGAGAAGATGATGCATAGTGGAGATGGCTGGGAAGCCAACTCGCTATGAGCAAGCATTACTCAATATTTATAATCAGACAAAAATGAATGACAGACATATGATAAATAGGATACGAAAAGCACACATATACGCTCATATAAAAATACAGGCAAGGTTAATAAGCGAATAATGACTCTGATATATAGGTGAATTGGCTTGGCCAGTAACTAGAATAAGCTATGTAGATGTGATATAGTACACAACGTTACACTACTCCCCACAAGAAAAAGTCAACATTTCACAGAGAAGCAGTTGAATCTCAGTGAAATACTTTCAGTGATAAACAATGGTTATCCGAGATGAATTCGTTTTCACAAACTATTCTAACCCAAAACAAGTTAATCTCATTACTGACTAGTACATGCCATTCAATGACCGACCCTGATTTCACAGGGCTGAGTTTCTCATAAGTATATAATTAGTCCAGTTGCTATTTACATGTCAACACCACATTTCATTTTAATGATATATACATATATAAATGTATACATGTATAATGGAAGGGATAAAGATCGAAGTACATCAAAGTCGGATGATCTCCTACGTTATTAGAGCTCAGTGAATTTGGAAAACTATTTGGTCATCAGTGTTATCGATAGTTACAGTAATAACACACGGAGAAAATCAACTACACCAACTCAATTCTCATATTTTCACATGATAATAATATTGTTAGTTGGATGTGGGCAAGCTGTTTAATTTAAAAGTTGTTTAGGATGAACAAGTTTGAAACATGAAGTGGAGAACGACTACAACCAAAATCAAGAAGGTATAAGTACTTATTATTTACCTTGCTGCACAAGAACAGGTGAACCGATAGATGGACATGGAGGCGACCAGATGGGGAAGCTAATCTTTTATGGATACAAAAAACAAATTCCTATCAGTGAACGGTATTCGCAGTCTTGCCGCATTGAATGTTCCTTTAATTGCTGTCGTTAAACGATTTTTGATTACCTCAGATGTACGATCACCCTTAAATTTCAAACTTATATAAAGATTTTTCTTTGGAACCAAACAACCGACTTCCTTGTCATAACTACTTTTCATATTCTTACTTATGAAGCGGTCTGGATAACTATCTTTTGTCAGATTTTTCCTGAGGAATGAGAGTTCTTCGTCACTGCATTCCGTACTACATATTCGATGTATTCGATAACATAAAGAGTGAATGAAATTACTTTTTTTACTTCAAGGAACCCAACTATAGAAGTTGGTCATCTGCCCATTGCATGTTTGTTCTCTATTGAAACAAAATCATGTTATTCATCTTACTACATTCACGTTATAATTGATCACTAACTGATCGAGTCCATTGTTATTATTCGTACTATATATAACGTTATCTTGGTTTGTACTTGTTCACATTTCCACATGGAACTAATACATAAACAAACAATTTTCATGTATATATGATTGTACAGTTTGATTATAAATTCGTTGGAAAGATCCATTCTCTGAACTTCGTGCTCCTAATGTCTGATGATAACTAAAATTTTGGCAATTATCCAAATGAGTTCAGTCCACTACTCAATTTAATGTCAACCTGTACATTCGTCATAACACTGACCAATGAAACTTGAAAATAATGAGTGACAGAGATTTGCGATCAATTTTAGTTCATTCCTACTACATCGACAAAAATAACAGTTAAGTGGAAAGTAAGTTTTCCAGTGTTTTCATCATCACTGTCTCTTTCCAACTGATCATTCAGTATACAATAATGAAATCAGTACAGAGATCTTTCTAAAAATACTTTCATCTGGATCATCTCCATTTGTTGAAACACGTGAACACATCAACAAACAATATTCATACATATTCGGGATTTCGGAAATTCCATCTAAATCAACATAATATTTGACTTACTTTCATTGGATTGGATTGTGAAAGGTTGTTGTGCTTTCGGTTTACCTTCACGAACACCACAATGGAAGATTACTGTGAATAATACTCCAATCCCAACAAGAATCAATGCAACATTTCGAAATATAGGCAAATCTTGAATTGTCGTATTGTATTCTGAATGTACAACTGACTGTTTTCCAACATTTGTCGACTGATTATCACTTTGAACATTATTGTTAGTTGTTCGCAATGATTTCGTGAATAGTTGACTGCTGTTCGCATTGTTGTCAGTTTCATTTACTGATTTCAAAATTAACAAACTGGATTTTTTTGATATGAAAAATAAATATGTTATAAGCAACATAGTTATGTGGCCGATTCCACTGAAGAAATATCGTAATGAGGCAAGTAATACTCGTTCATCATGTTGATCTGTCAAATCATTGATAATTGATAAGTGAGGAATTTGTACAGCTGCAAAACCAACCTTTGAAACATTGTTGGGTAGACAAAGAGAGAGAATCGATTAGTTTGAATGTTGTTCTATTATAAATTATCGTCAACACATAAACAGTGTTTAGCCAATTCATCCGACTCCGAATAACACAAGAACCAGTGGAACTGAGAGAAATGTATCTTGAAGATGACCGCAAGTGGATACACGATAATTTGTAACCTATGTTGTTTCAGATGACAATGGATCCTAGAAGGATGGTGATTGTATGTTGTGTGCTAGTGATGTCGACAGTTATAAGTAGTATGTATTATCAGTCGAATGTGGAATGCCTGGAGGCAGACAGTTAAGAAAATCGAAGAAGAGAGAACGAGAACAGAGGATGATTGGTGTGGAAACACAGGAACCATGAAGTCTGAGACGACTGATTAATATTTTGCAGATGAATTATTTATGGTATGGTTCTCAGATTTTCCTATAATACTATGTAATCTAGTGCTCAAATACATTCAATTGTCCCCACTTTTGTTCTCATTCACTACTTTACAATTTACTACTTAATAGGATACCATAAAATATACTTTTATTAGTATGCATATAAATGATGTTTTGTGGATTTTTTAGAAATTAGGGATCGTTTACATGAGGAACTGATTTAATTTAGGAAACCATTCAAAACGAGAGAATTTTCAAGGCAGCTGTTTCGTCTTGTTATTATATTTTCTTTAGACATGACTTGAACATGGTGTAAACCAAGAATTTCCAATGTACTTTGTCAGCTCATCAGTTTAAGTCTATTGTATTAACTAACAATGTTATCAGCAAAATCTGTTACGTTTCATTTCTGGAACTTTTTCTTTGGTTATTATTTTCAAATTTTAGCTGGTGTAACAGATTACAGAAATATCAACAGATCAAATGAATATTATCACTGGACTTAATATGAATGATTTAGAAAAAGGAATAAGAGAAGTTAGAAATGAGTTAGTTTAAAATTATTTAAGAGACGTTTTGCACTTTACCTTAGGAGTTTGGATAACGAAGTTCGAAATCATACTAAATTCGTTGTCTAAGCAACCTGAGGATCTTAACTGTGCTTCTTTGACGAAATCAGGTACAAAATGGTCACCTCTGAATTTGCTAAAGAATAGTTACTTATCGCGTTCAACTGAAAAACTACGCTAAGCTGCATTTATCTTATTGAATAGAAGATTTCTAATCTAATTTAAAGTCGAAATAATGATTGATTTATTTTGTAAATGATGATTATAAGCACCTTAATTAAAGAATACTGAAATAGTAAAGCGTTCTTGATATTCATTCCAATGTCTACACATCTACACAGATTTACATAAAACACATCGTACTAAAATACTCACTCCATCGACAAACTTTATTACCTATTATTTTTCAGAGTGATTCCGAGAATTCCACATCACAATCACAAACATTTGTTCATACAATAAGACATACCTGAACACAAATCATAAACATGCCATTGATCAATAACTTCGCCCAAACTGGAAGCCCAACTAAATATTCCGGTTGTCCAAACATCAATGGAAAGGCAATAACTAACAATAAACATCCAGCTAAATGCCATGACTTTCTCGGTCCAAGTCTCAACTGCCGTTTCATTCGATTCAACAACCTCTTATCCTTCTTTACACTTTCATCTTCACATGTTATCGACTGGTGATCAGCTGTCGATTTTTTAGTTGGACTAAGTGAACGATCTGATAAATAACCAATCAATGGTGTGGCTAATCCATTGGCAATCTGACCACACAGTAATAATGCCCCAACTTGTGAACTGCTCAGACTGATACATCCTTCATAGAATATTATGTAGAATACAAATATAAATCCCACAACAAGATCTTTAAGCATTTGACCCGTTCCGTAAGCGATTTTACTAATCCATTTCATTTTATTTATCGTTGTAGCTTGAATAAATGATAATGATTGTGACACTTGAAAGTCGTTCACAATTCACCAGTTTAACCTAGATTTACGAGTGAGTTAATTAAGAATTGCACACATTAACTTGTTGAATTGAGTAGTTCAGTTTAAATACTGTTGTATGTACAGTAAGTAATTTGGTAGTAATTTTATTAGTCATAATTATTCAATAAGAACTGACTTATCTGATTGACCAATCACTTGAATAACTATTTTAGCATTCGTGGTTGCAGGTTTGATGAATGATGAATATCAGCTACATTAAAATGATTCAATTCAACTGATATTTCTTACATTATTCATTGAGTATCTTATTAAAATTAATATGTGGTAGAGAGAATTTTGAATGACTCCTTTCATGTAACCAGATATAGATTTAGCCGAATGTTTCAGCTCACATTTTACCTGAAATACGAATGTAGACATGTAGCTAAAGTTTTGATAGTCAAACATTGGTTTATTAAAAAAACAGTTTTAAAGATAATCTGATTAATTATAATAACAACATGGAATTATGAACATCCCGATGAGAATAATGAGTAGTAACTGTTGGAATCTATTTCTGGATTAATACTTAAGATAAGCAAATATGGATAGTGGCTAGCAGTGGAATCCAGGAAGTGCGTTTCGTGCTATTTGGGACTTGTCAGCCAGATGTACCTGCATCTCAGAGTTGATGTTCACTCTGGGACTCGAACCCAGTACCTTTCACTTCAAACGCCACCGCGTTATCCATTCGGCCACTGATTCCTGATAGTCCTGATAGGACGAAACGCGCATCCTGGATTCCACTGCGAGAAACTATTCATTAGACGCCGATAATCACCAGTTGGACGCCAATCGTTGCTTTCCTTTTTAAGGACCATGTGCAAAGGAGATGCCCATGGGCTATTTGACGGTCTAATGATTCCTAACTTTATCATGTGTTCGAATTCGTTTTTAAGCCAACCCCAACTTTACGGTAGCCAGTCGGCGTGCTTTCGAGAATACAGGTGGTCCTGTAGTCGTGATGTGATTGTGACACTGCTGGTTACACACGGCAATTTCGGTTGCAGTTGATATATCGCAGAGTACTTATCGAGTAATGGTTGATATAAGGGGTCTATGGTATGCTTAATTGTTACTGAAGATAATTTGCAACCAGAAAGAGGAGTTACGCAAACAGATAACTTAGTGTTTCCGTCTATTAGCCTTCGTTTGCGCGTATCGATGAGTAGATTGAGGTGTTGTAGCAGGTCTATACCAATGATTGGCATAGAAACATCTGCAACCACAAAAATCCAGTGGATGGGTTTGCGTAAACCCACGTTCAAGTAAACTTACCTTTTCCCATATGTGGCGATCGGTTTTCCGTTTGTAAGCTTAAAAAAGACTCGTGAAGCATGTCGTTATAATTCAGAGGAATAACGCTAACTTCTGCGCTAGTGTCGACGAGGTAGCGAACTTTCGTGGTCACATCCGTGACGTATAACAGATGGCTATGTTTGCCGGCTACGGTTGCCGTTAACGCGTGTCGGCTGGGAAGTTTCCCCAATTCTTTTCGGATTTTGAGTTCTGATAATTGCAGGGTTTTCTGCAATTTATGGAGTAGTTTCCATACTGATTATGATACCAGCACCAGTCGGGGTTATCCGTCTCTGGTGGTCTAGAAACAGATCGCCTATGTGAAGTGGTTCTTCGAGGAGTATGTGATCGTTTATGGTCATTACGAAATCGGAAGAAACGTGTCAGTGTATGACAGATCCGAAATGTCATTCTGTCTCTCTTGAGTTTTTTCTTGGACTGAGAATACCTTGGCGTTAGAGGTCTTCGTAATTTTAAGTATGCGGTCGGCAGATGCAGCCAGCTCATCCACGGCGTTGTTTTGAAACAAGACGAGAACTGCTTGCACCTGTTGCGGAAGTTTAGATACGAAAAGCTGTTTGAATAGGCCTTCACCGAAAGTTCTTTGGCCAATCACCTCTCTCATTCTTAGCAACATATCTGTCGCGAAGCCATGTTGCAGGACGATACTTATAGGGAGTAGATCTAACCTTTGTCTATCGGTTAGATCTCCGCGTTTAAGAATCGACCGTTTCAGAGTTTCGTAAGGTTCCAAAACATCACTAGTAAACATACTAAGTGTTACGTACCTGTTGAACTCGCACAGTAGCGCCTTTACAACCGCGAGGAACTGTGCGCCTGAATCAGTAATGTTGTGCTCGTGGAAATCGGTTTCCGCGTAGCAGAACCAGGCTTCGATATTGCTCGGCCAAAAAGGCATTAGTTGAAACGAGGGTGATGTAAGAGTATTAATGTTAAGGAGCTTGGGAGTCTGATCTGTCATGGCGAGTATAAAGTATAGGAATGAACGAGAAAAAATATCCCAAATTACGAACAACACAGTGCAATATATAAAAAAATTAAAGCAAAGTAATGATTTATGAAGTTCCAAAAAGGAACAGACTCACAGTTTAATGTTTAGTGTACCAGATCATGTCGGTCTCACCACTGAAGATACCACCAGTATTGTAGTTTGATAACAACTTACCAGTAACACCTATAATCTAGTCGCGCCCACCCAGTTAAATCAAAAGTCAGAAGCGAGGAAGTTGGAAGATATATTTGATGGGTTATCAATATATCGAGATGTGACTGATCTAATCTGGCTAATGATCGTAGAAGATGTTTTGCACGCCGTTCTGAAACGTGATCTGGTACAAACGCATGCCCGAGCGCCTTCATCTAAATGAGTCCACTAAAACTAATGTGGTCAGCATCCAATATCGAACACTTACAGAGCTATTGACTTTGGGGATTTATCTACAGCTACAATGTAAAATTGTATCGGAACGCGTGGAACTGAACTTTTTTAAATCTTGTTTGTCGAGTCACATATTCCCAAATCAATTATATAAGAATTTACGTTCAAGTAAATTACAACCGAATATTTCAAATCTCGTTCGACTGTCGAAATCATATATAGATAATTGCTAAGATAAACTGATCAATTTAATTGAATTACACATTCAATCATTGCCTATATTAACGAAATATCTATAGTCTGCCATATTAAATTCATCAACTTTTGCAGTACGGTCATTTTGAAGACAAAGGAAAGGATTGGAAAAAAGCTCGAAAAATCTTGCATTGATACTAATCATGTTAATTTATTCCCAATTAATCCTGATAAGTATGTCACTAATTTATCTTCCATTCTGTTATCTGCTAACGAAAAGGAAGCACTTTCTTTTGGTTTTATTTTCTCGGTACCTATAACGCGAATGTCTGAATTGGAATTTAATACCCAATTTGAAAATCTTTATGATCAACTGAGTACTCTAACCCCTTAATCTTTAAATAATCAAAGCTGGTGTAAAGCTAAACTGGTGGAAATAGCACACCGATTTCATAATGTCGGACCAAAGCCGAGAAGCATATTAACTTCTCAGCAATTTAAATCACTAAAAAAACTACGAACAGACCCTTGGATTGTCTTGGTGAAGTCTGATAAAGGATCAGGCGTGGTTATCATGAACAAATGTGAATATAAAAGTAAGATGTTATCCATTATGCCTGATTTTGAATTTGGAGGTATTAACAAACTAGAGGGAAAAGAAAATTCAAACCTGGAAAATTTGTTACACATGAATATTATTGATAAAGAGGAATTTAATTTGTTAAAACCTATGGGTTCTGAGTACCCTCATTTATATGGACAACCTTAAAATTCATAAATCAAATATCCCTTTACGACCAATTTTATCAATGTGCCGATCACCTACACATACTTACTTACTTACGCCTGTTACCTCTTGTCGAGGAGCATAGACCGCACACCAGCATTCTCTATCCAACCCTTTCCTGGACAATCCTTTCCAGTTCTTTCCAGTTGTTATTCATCCTTTTCATCTCTGCTTCTATTTACCTGCATAATTGATTACCTATACATGACCTAGCTAAATGGCTAGCAAAATCGCTATATCCTAGTCGAAGACGTAAGTATTCGAAGATGTAAGTATTCTCTGAAGGATTCTTTTGAATTGGTCGATCATTTACATGATATTAATATCAAGGGAAAGACAATGTGTTCACGTGACGTCAATTCCTTATTCACAAATGTATCCTTAAAAAAGACTATTAACATAATATGTGACTATACATCTTTAAACAATCTCAAATGATCTATCCCTTGAAAAATTCCTAAAGATTTAATACTATGATATACCGAAAAAATTCATTTCACTTTTGAAGGCGAATATTTTCGCCAGATTGATGGGGTTCTTATGGGTAGTCCGTTAGGACCATTATTAGCAGATGTTTTATGACACATGCTGAAAATTTGGCTGGAAACCTAATCGAAAACATGTCACTTTATAAGAGATATGTGGACGATATCTTAGTTGTCTGTGAAAGGAAGATTGATATGAACTGTTTACTGAATAAAATTATCCCTATTCAAAACCACATCAGTCTTTCTTGCGAAGAGGAGAAGAACGACCAGTTTCCCTTCCTGGATATACTTCTAAGTACACGAGAAGATGGCTCGATCAAACGATCCATATTTCGAAAATCAACGTGGACAGGCCAATACCTTAGCTATTATAGCTATTGCCCCGTGCAGTACAAATAGGGTTTCATAAGGTGCCTATTTAACAGGCTTGATCGCATTTGCACAAACAACGCTATTGATGATGATGTTAAGTTGTAAAACAAAGTGATAATGGGTAATGGTTATCCACTTAAACTTATAAATAGATGGAAAGCTCATGGTACAGTGAGACCTACTGAATCAAATGACCCGATAAGAGTAGACGATAAACATCTATCACCCTCTATCGTCAAAGATATAATCGAAACAGGCCGTAAGATTGATCAAAACTCGTCTTTTGTGGTGTTGTATAAAAGTGTGAAAGGGTGTAAACTGAGGTTTATTGAAGCCTAGGCGATAGGAAAATTCAAACCCACATTGTGCATTCAAAAACAGTTTGTTTTTAACTTAAACCTACCCTGGTATTATCAGCTCATAATCCAAAGTGATTAGGTTTCATTTTATTTTTATTATTCACTTAGTATTACTTGTTTGAATCTTCCCACTGATGTTTAGGCCTGCAATTGA